TCCCTGTATGATTCTGGGCCTTGCCACGCCCCACGCAACACGCTGTTAGAGAGAGAAAAACAGGGATACATCAGATAAATATTCAAAAGTCTGATTTAACTACATGTACATGCATAAAATCATAGCATACCTGGGGTTTGAAAACTGAATTCATGGTGTCAACTTTGGATGTTTCATTCTTGCAACTGACCAGGCTTAAGGTGTTTATCAATACTATTGATTATTTGAGATCAAAATGGCTGGTGGTAAAAGCATCAAGTTTCTGTTTCCTGATGACTACAAAACTTACCTTCTCATCCGTGGAGAATCTGTGGCGCCCTTTCAGTCTTCTCTTCTTGTTGTAGTTTTGCTACAAAAATGAGAAATGCAGTTAGATATGTGTCAAAAGAGATTAGAGCCTCAATGAGTGATCCTTGCCGACAATTGGTTCTCTCATATATGTCATTTAGTGAGTGCTTCAAAACAACAAATGTGACTGCACTGTGCCATATTACAAACTCTGCATGATACAAATCATATATAACAGCATCTATAAAAATGTGTATTTCACCCCACCTTTAAGTATCTCTTTGTCTTTCCTTCCTGTGACTTGCGATATCCTGCAAAAAGAGATGCAAATGGTTGTTATTAGTTACAAGGTCAGATAGAGAGAAGGGAAACAAATAAACAGATCCCCATAATACACATTTAGTATCTTAAATTTACAGAAAGTGCTCTTTTTACTCTCTTTGCACGTTTGCTTGTGTTTTGTGTGTATGTGTGCGTTTGTCTGATAGCTACAAGTATGATGATATTTGCTATGACTTAGTAGGATTGAGAAGAGAACCTAAAAGTGCCGTACTTACCAACCAAGTCCTGCCCATATGGTGTTCGCTTTTTTGATGACAAAATGTCTAAGTCTGAAAGACAGAAAAACAGCACCATTGATAAGACATTATCTACCAACCAAAACTGAAATAACTATTGAGCCTGTGGTAAACTTATGGCACACATGGGAATATTGTCCAAATATTTGGAACATACTTTACTCAGATCTGTGGTGACCTTACCTTAGACCTTAGATCCTCCCTCACCTCTGTGGTGAACTGGTCAATAATTTACGTGGAGAGAAGATTTTTTTACAGTGATACATCAGACATACAATACTATAAACATCCATGAATAGTTTCATCAGGTTGGTAAGACACTGAGTAAAGAGACTCTTTTTACACAACCAAGTCTTTTATTCAGTCGACATTTCGGTGACCGTCTGTCACCTTCCTCAGGGCAATTCTGACTGGTTCACATTGCACTGCAGCACAGGTGTCGCTGCTATAGATGCATTCCAAACGTAGTACAATATTTACATATCTACACATATGCGTGATTACAGAGAAATTTTCTTCTTGCCTTCGAGACTGGGCTTCTTCTTTCCTGATTTCTTCTGTTTTGGGTCTTCTTCCTCTTCTTCTTCCTCATCAGAATCTGACTGTGGTGTCAAGGTGACGCCTGTTGAGAGGACAAGCTCAGATTAGACCTGATAACTAAATGTGTTAACATCATGAGATAAAAATGAGATAAATTAATTTCGTCAAAAGTAGGAGAAACATACAAACCCATCACAACAACATTTAGTTGACAGTTATAATAACTATAAGGCAGATATCCATCTACACTGAGGGATTCTAAAGCTATTCTAAAGCTATTCCCCAAGGTATCCTTAGCTGCACTGTGTGAGCTTTCTACATCAAGCTACAATGTATTACATGAATTTCATTTCAAATCAATCTAACAGCCATGGTTAGTTTTATGTACTTCAATTAGTTTTGGTAAGCATGTCATGAGAAAAAGACCACAGATTTATTTAAACTACAAGGGCCAGTATGTAGCCCCCTATTGTGACCTAGAACACTGTAGATTCACAATGACACAATTTACAAACTCTACAGACTTCCAAACACCATTTGTTTGCTAACAGAACCTCAATTGTTCCCCCTACCTTCTGCCATAGCCTCCTCCATGTAAGCTGGTAGGATGAGGGTGACTGACTTGGTACGTTTCAGCCTCTGGGTACCATCGTCTTTCTTCAAAATTCCTGTCAAGATATCATGCTTGTAAACAATAGCTGGCAACATACCAAATGTTATGACACATAACCATTCAAAGCTTCTTGAATTAGGCTGTTTACTCAGTCAACACTACAACCTTACAAACCTGTACATACTAAACCATAATCCTAAGCAAAATGTCTCTATGTCAAAATATTACATTACATTATGTGGGAACCCACCAGCATATACTTTGTACTTTATTCTGATTCAGGTGTATTTCAATTCATTCATAACCACGTACAGTAAAATCATTGTCAGATTATGTCAGATCAGAAACAATTACACACAACAACAGTGTACATGTAGCAGCTGGCATGTATTCAACATCATATGATACGATCATATCACATATGACAAAGGTAGACATGCAATATGAAGATGAAATTTGAGTATGAAGGACAGTGAATCTAACTGTTACTGTATTTCATGCATCCGTACCCTGGACTGGCAGGGAAGACACAGACTTGGTCCGGACCATCTCTGGGTCGTCTTCTTCCGCTACTTCCTCTGTAAAATATAGAAAAACAAAAGTTTAAACTAATAAAAATGTATTGTTTTGGTTCGTGAAATAACCGCTGTCTTGTCACCCTTGCAAAGAAACATGCATGAGGTTATACTCCTTCTGATGAGATGTTAAGTGGAGGTCCTGTGTTTGAGAATAGCAATGCCTCAAAGGATAATCAAGAACACACCACACTTATCCAGTTGTAGATATATTTTTTCAGTGATCTGCAATATTGTCAAAGTCAAAATTTTGTTCTGCAATTTGGAAAGACTTCTTGCTAATACACAAGCCTGAGCATACTACAACCTTCTCAACGCAATAAAGCAAAATTGCAGGTTGTAGGATTTTTCTTTTGCAATATTGTAAATCTCCCTGCAAAATGCAGAATGCAGCTGGGTACTTCAAACACTGTTATCAAAAAGAGTATGGGTCCTTCCTGGAGTGAGGGGATCAACCCTTAAAATCTGGTCTTACACAGCTTGTACTTACATGTACTGTACAAAACTGGTGTATTGCTTCAAAGAAAGAAAGAAGGCACGACATAAAAAGATATAAGCCAGTAAACTGTACCATCTCCTGATGTGATGTCCCCGTCCGTGTCTCTTCCTGTCTCCTCTCCTGTTTCCGGGTCTGGTGTGATCTCAGACTGGGGTTCAGACGACACTACAGACGCTACAGACGCCAGCGACATTCTTCGTGGAGTCCTGAATCCTGACGCTACACAACAAACACAAATTAAGTTACTTCAAGAAAGGTGCATGGATTTATTTAGCCTGGGTGCTTTATCTATTTTTTTCTGACCAGTAAGTGCAAGGAACCCAAAAAGCAATTTGCAAATAGTGATCACCAGACTAAGGCCTAGGGAAAAAATGTTGTGTTTCCTGCTTCAGTCTAGAAAAAATTAGGGTCAGTAGGTAGGAATGATCTTTTTTTCATTCTTTTTTTTTTTTATACTTTGTCAATCTCTAGTGAACCAACTTGTGATCCAACTTATACAATACACTTTAACAAAGTCAAAGTTGCATGAAAACAATGTCAATGTTGGAAAATTGATTGTACAACATTTCATCACTCAGGTGTCAGATCATGGAGCTAGAAAGGTCGATCAGCTTGGAATATTATGTCATTGCATGAGTCCTCCCAATTCACCCAGTTCTTTCTAGGGTTGGTCGGGAAACAGGGAACACAGCATTTTTATTCTACTACTGAAAACATAATCTTCTTGGCGAAGGTAAGAATGGACAATACATAAAAGCCGGCATCCAGGCTAGTTGAATTGTATGTGTGGAAACAAACACTGTGCAAACTGACCCGCCATCCGTAAGCGATGTCTCAGCAGTTTCCCAAGGAACTCGAAGTCTTCCTCCTGCCCGGGAAAGCTGGTCCCCTGGTCCAACATGTCCAGCACTCCCGCGTACTGAGAAACCGCCTTGTCCACGGTGTAAACGCCAGCCTAGATTCGCCACAAACAAAGACCAAGGAGGTTCAACATATACTTGATTTTGAAAGAAAAAAGATGTGTAAAACTGCTGTGTTTGTGTCTACCCAGGGTTGAAGTGTCGCGCCAAGTTTGGAAATGCTCCCGTGTACTGAGACACCGCCTTGTCCACGGTGTAAACTCCAGCCTAAAATCACGGCAAACAAAGACATATGCTTAAGTTTGAAACTAAAAAAGAGTTGTAAAAATACTGTGTTTGTGTCTACCCAGGCTCCAAGCGCAGCGCCAAGTTTGAATTGGACGTGCTCCGGTGCCCCCCTCCCCATACATGCTGTAGTGTTCTGTTATGAAAGCGGTAGTGTTTTGCGGGCTCTATAACGTTTATACATGTAAAGATGGGATTTGGGACCCACCATTTCAGCACCAAGGACATCGCCAACTGAAACAACGCCGCTGTACACCGACCACGGCTCTGCGAAGGTTGGAAGCGGCGCGCTAACATAGCACTTCAATAGCGCCCACGCATACTGCATACAGTACATATTAGGGACCCCCCATTTCAGCACCAAGGACATCGCCTGTGCGCATAACGTTACTGTACTCCGGCCGTTGTTTAGAGCTCTTTTGAGGCTCGGAGCGGCAAGCGGACGCCGTGTCAAGTCTGGAAAAATGTTTGCCAGACCTTATAACGAATATACATGTACAGTAGGGACTAGGGACTCCCCATTTCAGCACCAAGGACATCGCCTGTGCGCATAACGTTACTGTACTCTGGCCATGGTTTAGAGCTCTTGGGAGGCTCGGTGCGGCAAGCGGACGCCGTGTCAAGCCTGGAAAAATGTTTGCCAGACCTTATAACGAATATACATGTACAGTAGGGACTAGGGACCCCCCATTTCAGCACCAAGGACATCGCCTGTGCGCATAACGTTACTGTACTCCGGCCGTGGTTTAGAGCTCTTTTGAG